CACGCTCCAATCGATTGCTCCAGTTGTGCCGCTGCTGGCAACACAGCTCGTCCAAATCACCAACTAAACTAGTGGGAGGATCGCTTTTTGGGGCGGAGTGCTTTCAAAGTTCTGCTCAACAACCAGCGCACCTTTCGTTGTGAAGCGCCACACGCTTCCTTGGCAGCTGACAATGGGTAACCCTTTCGTGTGGCGCATATACTTCCCAGAAGTGCTCCCTCTTCATCGTAATTGCTTCCTTTCTCTTTGCCAACCGTGATCGATCATGGTGGGCCATACTTTCACCAAGAATCGATTCGAATATCGCCGTTTATTTGGCATTTTTATGTTTCGAAATTGCCCATTTACATTATCGGATACACAAAACAATGCGCTCATGTTGGAAAGTTGATGATTACTGATGAAATATTTCAATAGATTTTAAAGTAACATACGCAAAACGGCGGTCGTGAAAGGTTGAAAAGAATGATCCTCAGAAAAAAACATGATTCTTTCTACCCATAAATCGCTGATTGAGACCCATCAGAACAAAAAGAACGAAAGAAAGTATTTGTTTCGGTAAACAATTCGAAAAACCGGAAGGTTGCTACGCGTTCAAATTCCCGCCGGACATCTGTCACAAATGCTGGCGCGGGAACGCTTCCACTTGGTTCTTGGAGTGCTGTCACTAGAAACTCTTTTGACCTTTGACTTATTGCACTAACATCTCACACTTCTACTGCATCCTATTCTATCAATCGTTTTGTCCCTATTCTCCAATCGAACGCTCGATTCTTTCATGCGTCATTTGATACGTGGCCGCGAAAAGGCGCACTTTCTTTCCATGCCCGCCTTTGGCTCCGCGCCTCCTTACCTTCGATTGTCCATAGAGTGTGGTTTTTGTAAGTTTGTTTCTCTTCGGAAACCGAATCTTCATGCGTGAAACTTTGTGTGCTGTCTTCCAGTGATCACAACTGACATATTCATGTTAGGAAAGAATGCAAGAATTTTTCCGCGCAGGATTCCTTTGAAGGCCTGCCAGCAATCCTATGTCAAGGTATGTTAATGGCTTCTCCAAGTTCTACTCCTACAGGTATATGAGCTCGCGTCTGCACGTGTTAAGCAGCGACTTAAGGACGATCAATTCGACCTTTGAGATACATATATGTCGTACCTGGATGTGAAGATAAACATTGATTTGAACGCTATCCGAAAATTCTCGGCCCTGTAGGCGTAGAGCAACGGATTGAGCGCACAATTCACATATGGAAATAGGTGAATGATGTTCACAACAATACGCTCTAGTTGTGATGTGACACGAACACGAAATATAGAGGAGAACAGATTGAACAGCCAGAACGGTGCCCTGAAATTGGGAATGTGACAGTTGTCTTTCTAGTTAAAGAACACGTCTACCCTCGTTTTTAATCACTTAACACATTGACGACATTGAGACGCGGTAACGCGTCTCACTTTGCGCACCTCGTTGGACATTGAGACGCGGTTACGCGTCTCACCCTTGTCATCCCTTTTTCTAGCGTATGCGGGGATTCTTCCCAATTTGCTTGCCTCTATTCTATGGATTACAACATAACATAACTGTAAACGACATGGGTCACGGTATGATCAAATATGCTCCAGTTTAGCAGAAGTTTTTTAAGCACAGCGGAATTGGCAGCTCGGTTCATCCCTCGTTTTCTTCCTATTCTCATGAACATGTCAGTGAGAAAAGGTAGTGAAAGTAAATACAAACCTAAAGGGATAGAAAGATATATGTTTCACTTGACACATCCACATCGAAAATAGTTTTGGCATCCACTACAGAGAAAAGGACTTGAATTCCAATTTTCTTTACCATTTCACGTTTTTTGATCGGAATTTCGCTACTATATCTTCGATTACTTTCTACGCATTGAATATTGCTGAAATGGTTTCGTACCTTTGAAGCTTCCCAAGTTATCATTCGAAATTCGGGGTGTGAGGTGTGACGGCCGCGCTCGCAAAAGCGCCCTTGTCCCACGCGGGTGCAAAAACCCAAAACGCGGCGATGTCGGCAACGTGTTACGTAAATGAATTGATGTTGGTCACCCAAGATAGCGTGCAAGTGAGGAAGGGCGTTAATAACGAGCGCATGCTCAAAAATCGAATAGGTAGGATCGGTCCAGGGCCTGATACGGCCTTTGTCCATCGATTACATTACGTGCTATACGCTAAAAAGAACAGAAACTGCGAATCGGCATCGGTGGCTAGTATAGGTTAGTGTATGCATGGGCAATTATTGTTAAGAACCTGTACAAGTTCTGATAAGAATTCAGTAGTGCATTGGTCAATCGCTGAAGACGCTTGTAATAAATCGTAAAGCGATTGATTTAGTGTCATGTAGTGCCTACGACCAGTTATATAATAAATAAAAAGGATAAAGCATTTGCCGTTGATCAATCCCTTTTTGGGATGCGGCACGCACTTCCATTTGTACATTCGTAGTGGCGTTTGAATGCGATGTGGCCTATACAATGACTTGCGGGGGCCAGCCGATGTACAAGTCAGTGTTTTTATCCTCCCAGACAAGTCTGGTACCAATTAACCGACCCCGGAGGGATGGAAGGCTTGGTTGGCCCGGGCGACTCACGACCCAGGATTTGATCCCCGGACCGCTCGCGTGGCGCTGGTGAGCGCGCCACTTGTCACTACACCACTTCCGCACATCCCAGAGCGTTATTAGAGCAGGCAAATCTCTTCTTATGATTTTTGATGACCTTTCGACATGACATCGCTTCCAGTGCAACCGTTCCTCGTACTGCTTTTTTGACTACGTCTCAGCCTCTTGTTCATAGCTCGTTGAAAGGAGGTGTCCTTTTGCTCACATTCGATGTCACCTACAGCATGAGCATAAGAGATCTCATTTTGCCCTTGATGCCCACGATGCAGCAAAAATATACGCTGTGCGTAAAGAATAGGGAAAAAAGTCTAATGCGAAATTCCCCCTAAAATGCCTCTCGATAAAAAGAAAAAATCTTTTTGTCTATGCCCTTCACCACCTTTAACGGACGGCAGTGCATTTTTCGCGGCACGCCGTCACAGGGTAGGGTTTATGTAGGCTTATGCGAACAGCAGGGTTAAGACGGGGCTAAAGTAGGTGTCCGTGTCTCATCATCCAAAAGAAGAGATTTCCGTTGACGACAACTTCGTAACCCGCCTTTCCGCTCTAAAACTAGGGTGCAAAGAATGAATGGAAGCTGTAGGTGACATTATCGAAAAATGCGAAACAACAACCCCGAGCAAGGATGTGGCTATATTTAGGGGAAGGGGTCTCGGGACGTGCGAACCATGGGTAAGCCACCCATCAAATAGTAAACTTATGTAAATTAAGACAAAATGTATGTAAAATTTATTGTAGGTTTGTCAAAAATCCAGCCGTCCAGGTCCTGGGAAGATATGTTATTCCACATTGCTGAGAGTATATATGGGTATATTAAGATTGCTAGAAACATTCCAAAAACAAAAGAAATAATCGTGCGCCACCATGTGGCGCACGCCGTCCGTTATGGGTTAAAAATGAACTTTTCATCCAGCCGCCAAGTCTCAAAGGAGGGAGGCACAGACCGTGCCCTCTAACTGTGCAATTTTGCTCGTCCCCCGTCTTGTCTTTTTAAAGGCAGACCAAACCAAACCTTAAAGCTAAATACAGATCTAACAACCTAATAAACGCATTTTGCCGGCCCTGCTCTTACAATCAGCCATAACGTCGTGGCAACCTGATGCCAGCGAAAAATTGGCGCCGATCTATGTGCGAAATTCTGTTCTACCTACCAATTTGTTTCAGCCCTTTCAATTAAGAGGATAAAAATAGATTATCGGCGTTGATCAATTCTTTTCTCAAGGATGCGTCACTTATCTCACCTTCACTCAAGACTGTGGCGGCACTTTGGATGCGGCTTTTTTGACTGTTACACCTTGGTGAGTTACGTGTGCCAGCCGATGTATAAGTCGGTGTTTTCTTCCTCCAGACAAGTCTGGTACCAATTAACCGACCCCGGAGGGATGGAAGGCTTGGTTGGCCCGGGCGACTCACGACCCAGGATTTGATCCCCGGACCGTGCCCATGGTAAGCAGCGCCACTTGTACTACCTACTCCTTTTTCAACAATAGCAAACTTCAATTTTTTCCAGTTTAGTCAGCCAACTACTCACTGAAATCTCGAATCTATCACTAACCAGCATAGAAGATGGAAAAGGACAACTCGCTGAACACTTCGTGTTACTCGTTGGTAAGGTGCTCGTGTTGCGGTAGATCGTTGCAGACGTCGAGAACCCTGAATGAGAGTCTATTAAGCCTTGATTTAGAACGCAGGTTAATTTGGAGGTGGTTGGACATGGAATATGAGAGGTTATGCAATGTGGTGTGACAGTGAAGAATAGTTAGGATAAAAAGTACCAAGTGCTCTGATTGGAATTCTTATTCTGCTCATTGATTTCCGGGGTTGGAAGACACTGTATAAAAGCTGGTATCACCAACGTGAATGTTATGCTCTGCTCGTCTGCTGTTAGGGCTAAGCGCAGATGAACGAAGGTGAGCGGCAGGAGCAGCCATTTGAGCCGAAGCGAAATTTGAAGAAAAAGAGGTGGCCGACTTCTTCGACATCCAGGCTCCCACTCCCAAAAGACGAGGGTCGCTAACCTGCCCAAACTGTGGTGACAATAATTGTGATTATGGTGCTGATTTAATTGTCTAACAAAAAATGAAATCAAAAGGAAAAATACAAACAAGCTAGAACTTTTTCCCCAGCCTACTGCAAGTGAGGGTAGGCCAAAAAGGACATTTTGCCCATGTCGCACTTCAGCGTTTTTTTTTCGTCGCAGAGTTGCCGTCGTTGACGGAAGTTCCTCAGCAAAATATTCCCTAAATGTCCCTCTATAAGTAGACGCAGGCCCTCCTTCACTGCCCTCACCGTCTTCAGAATATGACGTCATCTGTCATCGTCGTCAGCTCAAGGAGGCCTACCGTAACTGCTTCAGCCTGAAGCTCTTACAAATTTCTTGAATCGATTCAATGTTGGATAGTTTCCTAGAGACATTAGCTCTGACTATGCAAATCCCTTCGAACTAGCTTTCAGTAAAGGTCGTTATGGTACACGATCCTTCGAAGACCCCACTTGAGCTCGACCAGTGCACCATGTTTCGGGGACAAATTTTTCTGACTCTGTCCGCGTTGAAAACCACTATGAAAATCTCTTTTCTTCTAGAATTAAACGTGCTCTCATTCCAAACTTAGAGTTTTGGTTTGTTTAGCAAACGAGAGACCAAATCCATTTAAATGTGAAGACAAAACGTCTTCTTTATTGCTCTCCCCTGTATGTCTTTGATTGGGGAGAGGTCACTTTAAATAGGTGTTTTCTGTGTGCCTGCTTCATAACCTAAAGCGATGAGAACGATCGTCACTCTTACCTTCGCTGCTTCCCGTAACTTACAGAAAACCTGATAATAGCAGTAGAAAATAACTATACTTGTAATCGAATATATCAAGAAAGTCGTAATGTACCTGAATGAGCAGACATTTGTGGAGCAGACAGTCAAGTAATGTTTTACGAAATTTGTGAAAAAAACGTGGTTAGATGACGATGAGCTCGAGATCTCTTTGCATATAATTTGTAATGGTGTAGATTGTTATAGGGCAGTAGTTTTTAAATGTTTTTTTTTTTCCTGTAAGAGTCTGGCTGGGAGTGATAGGCAAGTGCACGACTTACTCAGTTCGAGGCGGGTCCCGGGATAAATCCTGGTCGTGAGTCGCGCGCCAACGAGCTTCTATCCCTTAGGTTTCGAATTGCCAGATTGTCGGAAGAGAAAAACAGCTAAGCTTTGAACAACGTGCTAGCTCCCGCAAACATTTGTAAAGGCACAGTTTGTCCGTTCTAACACGCTCACTAGAAACGTACTAAATATGAAGTAGAATGCATGCAGCAATACTTCAAAAAAGAGATGATCAACGGCATCGTTAGTCCTTTATATCTTTTAAGGATGGGCAGATACTTGAAAAAGTTCCCGATATCCATAAATATGGTAGAACTGAGATAGTGGATTACCAAGGAAGACCGCAAGGGCAATTTGTTATCGTGGTAATCATTCGAGAAGCTGATCTAGACTCTGAACTCCATACTTTATAAGCGATTTCTGAGAGGTTGTTATGACAGCACTTCTTTGCCTAAACGTGTGTCAGCGCATTATGAAGAAAAGATGTCTTGAAGGTTTTGCATTATAGTTGTTTTTTGATAAGTTCTGAGTAAAAGAACCGAAGTGGTGCCTCCTGCAGCTTGCCGGTTTTGCTTTTCTCAGTGTGACTGAAAATACCCGTAGCGCAAGCGCCAATTAGTTCTGCGGCTAAATTACTCTCAGAAGCGGGTTTATAGCTAAGTCTAAGGTTTCGACCAGTTGAGAAAAATTGGGGAGGCGACATTTCTCAGCCAGGATTCTAGCCTTACCGAACACTGAAGACGGCGGTAGGACGGTAGGTGTTTCAAGATAATGACGCGTAGATATTAGGGTGGCGCAAAAAGGGGAGGCAAACACTTTTCCCTTCCCACAAGTATGTTTCAGAAGTATGGCCAAAATTTCAAAAGGTCAATTTCATCCCAAGAACAGGCTTTAAAGATGGGTTCATGGATAGGGTGATCTGAAAACTTGTCCCATGGATATCTAAGCTTCAAGAACGAATCTCATATAATTTGGAGAGGAAACGCCTGGCGCGTGCACGATTGGCAACATGCGAAGCTACAAGCACATAACACACACAGCTCTCAGGTGCTCCTCACGATTACTCTCAGCAGGGAGCTGTAGGTAAGCCTTGCTGGAGTAGCGATGTCAGAAGAATTTCTACGTGTGGTGAAAATAGCAAAAAATTGTCAGGAGTCGATCTCACGACCTGCTGCCTGCGACCTGCCTCAGACAACCACCGTGCATTTCCGCCTCATAATTCCATGAAGAAGATTATTCAGCAGATTTGGAAGGCACAATTGAGATCAGTGTTTCAAGGTGAATGAAGCGGTGTACACCATCTTGCAAATGGCCGAATTGATCTGCTGAGTTTCCGGGTAGACTACTTCTTCAATGCCCACACCCCCGGAAAACGAATTTATCTATTCGAAAACATTTTCGATCATAACCTATGCTGGTTGGAGGCAGGCATCTCAATGACGGAATAATGAACTTCTCAAATGTGACATGAGAATGTCAAGTTATCGATTGTAAGACTAAAAACAATTGATGCAATCAATATATCGATCAATCTTTACCATTGAGCGGCGGGAGTGCTTGGCCAATGTACAAGACAGAACGTTTTATTTTTGTACTCTCCTTCACTTCCGTTCTTTTGTCGAACACCGAATGTGGCCTGGAATAACAGATTAAAAGTTCAACGTAGACCGGGACATGTTCTCATAGAACTTCATGCTTATGTGAAAATCTATTTGTTGGAAGCCTGAGAAGCAGTTCACGTTGTGTTAGTTACAAGGTTTATAGGCGTGGGGTCGGTAAGACATCGCGAGCACCATGACAGCTCAAAGGTGGCTCGATATGCGGCTTAGGCTGCTTTCATAGTTTGCGGTCCGTGCGATCCGTGCGGTCCGCGCGGACAGGGTGAAAAACGTCAACACGCGCTCTGGCGCGCGTACTTGGCGCGCAGTCGGCGCCTCCCTCGATCGATAATCCTAATTTCGATACATTTTTTCTATATTTTGACGTTTTGTGTGCCGTTTTGCTTTTTCTTGCGGTTGTTTAGCTCCAAAACTTTTCCTTTTTGTATGGATTACTGCTTTTGCTTACTAATGAACTCACTTGGGGCTTACTGCCACTTTCAAACACACTGTATGAACCTAACCATTCTAGGACAGTTGAAAAGCAATGACACACACGAAAAAGAAAAAAGCGTAATAGAAATGGTAATGAAAACGAGTGATGCTTTTTTGGCTAGTCATTTTTCTTTTGTGTTCGTGTGAGATCATTTGCGTTTGAACGTGTCTGGAGGATGATTAGGTATCATAGGAGTCTAGTAAACAAAGAGCCAGTGAATCCATGACAAGCGGAAAGTTTTGAGCTAAACTACTGCAAGAAAAAGCAAAACGGCACACAAAGCGTGAAAAAATATAGAAGAAATGTATTGGAATAGGATTATCGATCGACGAAGGCGTTGACTGCGCTTCAAGTACGCGTCGTGCGCCACACTCAGCGACGGACAAGCGACCGAGCCGAGATCGGCATCGCGTCTATCGCCTTCCCCCATCCCGTGTGCAATAGCTCTGCCGAGGAGCGATTGGCAGCTTGATCGTTGCCATGAAGTTTCACTAAGCCACGGCGGCTGAAGGTTTGGCCCGTCGAACGTCATGCGAGCGTCGATGGGGCGGGGCCAATGCCCGTCGCTTGTGCACTTTGCAAGCGATTGCGCAATCGCTTGCCAATCGCTCTCGGCAGAGCGATTGCAACGCGATGGACAAGCGATGGAGCGATCGCGATCGCTCCATCGCTTGTCCGTCGCCGAGTGTGACGTCGGTCTTTCATCTTGGCCGCGCGGTCCGCGCGGACTGCAAATCATGGAAGCAGCCTTGCTGAACAGTTTAACTGGACTGGCGCGGCTAATGGTAAACTGCGGACATACTTTCAGTAGCTGCAAGGTGGAATGAAAGGAGTATGGTTAGGTGATGGGTAGTTAGGGTCAAAAGCTACTTGAGAAAGCACTCAATTTTTGCATTTCCGGAGTATGCAGTTATTCAAAAGTTGTTCTAGCACTATCAACGGATTCCATTTGATCATGGTCTAGTATTGTTCGTTGCCGGTCGAACATCTTTGGGAAGTGAAAACATATGACTCACTTCTTTCGCGTAAAGGTACAACGGCAAGCTACATGCAATTGCTGTCACCCAGGCTGCCGTACTGAGAAGAACTGCGACACGGTAGTTCCTGAAAATGACGGCTATGGAAGGAAACGGCCGATGTGAACAAATTTACTACCTGAATCGTGCACATGTGTCACTCCTACACATGGCCAAGTATCGATCAGCTGCCAGGAGCACGACAAATAACACCGAGGCATACTTACCTTAAAGTAATAACATGAAATAGCGGCCTGTGAAAAGCACAAACTTTCGGGGCGTATGCGGCGCGTGCTGGGTGGCGTCACAGCGACGATTCAGCAAAAAGACGAACAGTGGTCAACGCCGCAGCTGACACTTCATCTTGCTACCCACGTACTGCTTCTAACCGCCTCACCTATAGGCTTGAAGCAACAATTCCATATCGAATTCGCGGGGTAAAAAGGTCGATAATGAAATCGTGGATGTCCGGTTGACTGCAAATGGAAAAAAGCAAGGAAAAGCGCCGATGGAGCATTTAAACAACGACTCCCTCTGTTCTCCATTTAGTTAAGGAAGAGGTGGGCCGGACGAGTTGTGCGAATTTGCTTGTTATTACTGCAGACCTGCAACTGATTTCCATTGTTAGGAAGAAACATATAGCTTCCAAACATTACAGTTTCTGAGACAAGAACGGCGCACGTTTGGTCAAGAAGCATTCAGAATTCCAGCGCAGGCGGGAGCATCAAATTAAACGGTTCAGAGGACCGAGTTCAAAGAGTCCTTGTAGTCCCGAAACGATTGCACATGTTACGCAGCCAAGGCCCCCATCCCTACGGCTAGCAAGTGGGCGGAAAGAGTGATTAGGCGGACCTGAGGAGTTCATGTTCCCTCTGAAGGCTTTCCAGGGTGAATTTTTTGTGGACTCTTCTTGAGTTCTTGACGAGGGCTAACGCATCATTTTTACATCATTAGTTTCGAAGATATGGATCCTGCTGGCACTGTTGCATTAAATTTACCATTTACTTGCTCACCCCCCCCCCCTCAAAATTTTCGATTAGGTACAGTGAGTAAGATCCGCGATAAAACGGAATATAAGACTAGTTTCATAAATATTCACCTGAACGAACACCTAATAGTAACCGCTATCACAACTCCGGAACGGAAATGCGCCACACAGGGCCTCTATGTAAACGTATTGTGTTTTTCAACGATATGGACCGTGAAGACGAACTTGTACACAAAACAATTTGGCGCAATGGGTCTCGGGAGCTGGGGGGGGGGCAGGAGTCAGGGACTCTAGGACTGAGCTACGGAGAAAGATGAACTCCGGAGAGAATAAAATTGCTTATGCATCCCCGAATACCTTTCCTCTCCAAGGTTTAGTCCCAAAACTAAGCATTTCCGCAACCCTGACTCAATCCCAGTTGACCCTCATCCGAGCCACATTGCGTCAACTGTTTAACACGTTGACGACAGGCTGACGCGCATGCGCGTCAGAATTTTGCACCGCATCGGACATTCTGACGCGCATGCGCGTCAGAACTATGTCATTCATTTTTATTGTGCTTGCGCTCCTTCTTCTCGAGTTTTTGTATTCATTCTATAGATAATACATTAGCATAACTATAAACCACATGGCAGCCAGAGTGGTCAAATATCCCTTGATTTAGCAAAGATTTTCTGAACGCACAAAACTTTCATTTCAATTCTTTCCTAGTATTCCTTTCACTGTCGTAAACATTCATATGTAAGATTGTAGAATCAGTATATACTCC